GGCAGAACTCAATTGGTGGATAACTAATGTGGACACCTCAAACAAACTTATTTCTCATGGTGAACCAGAACTCCTCATTCAAACTGATGCCTCTACCCATGGCTGGGGAGGTGTGAGGGGAGACCAGAGAACAGGGGGGAGGTGGAACCAACAGGAAGCACCCCATCACATTAACTATCTAGAATTATTGGCTGTACTCTTAACGTTAAAGGCTTTATGTGGAGAATGTGCTAATTTGCACATTCGGGTTCAATGTGATAATACCACCGCAGTTTGTTATATCAACAATATGGGTGGCTCAAAGTCCCCCGACTGCAACTCAGTCACAAAACACATATGGGATTATTGTGTTGAGCATAACATTTGGTTAAGTGCCTCACATCTGCCAGGATGTGAAAACACTGAAGCAGATAGAGAATCTAGGCACTTTAATGACCATACTGAATGGAAGTTAGAGTCAAAAATATACCAGTCAATAACCAAGCGACTTGGTCAGCCAAGCATTGATTTGTTTGCATCTCGCTTAAATAAACAATTTACAGTTTATGCCCCCTGGAGGCCTGATCCAGTTGCACTGTTTGTTGATGCATTCTCTGCCAACTGGAATATTTTCTTCTTTTATGCATTCCCTCCATTTAGTCTGATTGGGAAATGCCTGGAGAAAATTCAAGCAAACAAAGCAGAGGGAATACTGGTGGTGCCCTTCTGGACATGCCAAAGCTGGTATCCCAAACTGATGCGACTACTTGTGGCTCCTCCACTGATCATCACACCCAGGGCAACACTCCTAACACCACCAGGGTCCCAGAAACTTCACCCACTGAGGAAAAAGTTGAATCTCTTAGCATGTCATTTATGCGGAGACTCTACAAAAATTTGATTGTGGGATGTTCTAAGCTAGTAGAGGCGGACGTGTTACAGGGGGAAATCTTAAAAGGGGGCGTAACCTCTGTCAAACCATAAGCAAATGAATAAATGAGACTCAGCGGGCCCGGAAATTGTTTGATTTCCTTTAAACGTTGTCAAGAAGTTGCTACAAAACTAAGTTTTCAAATAGAAGCCTCCGTTTTAAATGAAAACGACAGTAGACTAACTCACCTTCGATTTGTGCTTGAGTTGACTTTCGTCACACTTGACCACGTACACACGTCCACCAAATGGGGTGACTGGTCTATCTTCTAGATCTCTCTTACAAATGAAGCGGAGCGTGGCAAACACACGTCCAACGGTGTTTTTCGTCAATCCCATTATAGACGATACTCTGGAGTGCAACTCGCGCTGACTCCACAGATAGATCACAATTAGGTTTTTTCAGAGAAATCCGGGGAAACTCAGCGAAAAAACTGCCTTCTTTCAGAGACTTTTTGCCTCTGCAACCTTTACATCTCCTTACAAAGAAAAAAATTAATAATTATAAACAAGGATCGATTGTTAGTCATTTTGCTTAAATTTGGAAAAGGAACAGCAGTAGTGTAACTCGTGAAGAATTCCGTTTTATAATGATCACTTATTTAAATGCTATACCACCTAGTAGTATGTCAGTGATAGAAATCGAATATTTAAAAAAGCTTAGTATTGGTACTGTCCAGTCTTACCACACATATCCATCTACGTGGTCTGGATTTCTCTCTACCAATTCCATTCCTCTATTGCATGGCACGCATCTCAGAGGACTAGCTATCAAGTTTGCCGCTGTAACCAAGTTATTATGTTGAGGTCTAGACCATAAGTAAACCTGTTAATGTCCACGAGATTCATTTTGATGCTGTTCGGATGCTTTGTTTGCTTTATTTTACTGCTTACTTTGTGACTTCCAAGAAACCGCTACTGCTGCGAAAACGAGAGGCGGAGCTGCGGCCTCTTGTTCTGTCGTTCTTTTCAATAACATTTTCGCACTTTGTTTGTGGCCTTTTCACAATATCCATCGAAATTCTCATGCCCTCATTGGTCGAGAATCATTGTGAATGTCAATCTTCGTCACGTAGACTAAAACATTTCTCTCGTGAAAAAAATGCACATTTCTGAAATATGGACAATGACGAGTGTCCGAATTCCCAGATTGGCATACTCGAAGAAATTTTTGAAGATGAACTTGTCGAAGTGAAAGAAGTGGCGAACGAAAATCTTCAGTGAAAAAATACCAGTTTTCGGTTCACGAGGAGGAAAGAGGGCGACCTTGTGAAAATACTTACAGATGCCGAAGTGAAGGGCACAAGAATAAAAATGAAGTGGGCGATAACAAAATTGAGGGTAAAAGACTATTAATTCACTACTTAACGCGAGGTAGTGAGTCTCATCGCCTCTTTGGTTACACTGTCAACAACACAAACTTGAACAAAGCAACGATCTATCATGTCACGTGCGGGTGATGTTCGGAAAACTTTGGCGCATTAACTGTACATAAGAGATAATAATCTCTTGTTACGTAGACATTTCCATGTTACTATAAAAAAAAGGTAAATTGACCACAATTTTCCATCTTGCTGATTGATCGTAGAAG